AGGCACTGCTATAAACTTTATGTTATAGTCAGGGGCCAAAATGTTGCTCAGCAAATAGAGCTATAGCACAGTCTGTTCCTCCTGCTACCCCATCTCTACCCTACATGGTGAGAAAGCTCTTTCACTCTAGTTCTCTCATCTCAGCAAGATTATTCCCAGAGCCTTCTAACTGTGGTGGGATGAGAAAGGCCAGAGAAGGAGCAGGACGGCACCAGCATGCCCGCTCTTATTCTTCCATTTTAAGGAGGTCACAGGGTCACACTGGATCAAAGCTGTAGGCTTGTTGGGACTGTGAGCTCACTGAGCTTAAACTAAGGGATCTTAGGCAAGCCACTGTCGCTCAAGCATCAGATTTTTTTGAAAGGCAAATAGCTTGTTCCCAGAGCATGTGTGAAATTTAAGGGGCAGGCATATTGAGGTTATGAACCCAAAAATGCAGGATACCCCCCCAAACTGCCTCTTCTTCCTCCCATAATGAAGGCACGACAGCAAATGCTTAAGGATTGATTGAGGTTTCTACCCAGAGAGACCCTCTAAAGGGTTGTACTCAACAAATGCCTGTCCAAGGTCTGAATAGTGAATACAGAGAATGACAAAGACCTGCTTTCTGCCTTCAATAAGCTCATAGCAGAGAAAAGACTAAAAACAATTACAACCAAATGTGGATTTGCTGATCTGGGGTCAGTATTACCTCAGTCTGCCTACGGGAGCTGGGCAAAGCTGGACCTTAAAGAAGCAGGAAGAATTACTAGGAATTTCAACTGGATAAAATGGAAGACATCCCAGGGCTGGGAAGGTGGCTCAGTGGTAGAGCACTTGCCTTGCATGCCTGAGGCCCTGGGTTCGATTCCTCAGCACCATATAAGCAAAAAAAGCCGGAAGTGGCGCTGTGGCTCAAGTGGTAGAGCGCTAGCCTTGAGCTGAAGAGCTGAGGGACAGCGCCCAGGCCCAGAGTTCAGGCCCCACGACCGGACCCCCCTCCCCCAAAAAAGGAAGACATTCCCAAGCAGAGAAGAACCAGAGCCTAGAAGTGAAAAGCTGTCCCTCATCTACAGAGTGGTTGTGGCAACGTGAAAAATGGTGAGAATGCAAAGGAGCATAAGGCAGGGGAGCATAAGGAGGAGGAAGGCAGGAGTCAACCTGAGCAGTCCCATAGTCATGCTAGGCAGTTACTTAGAACTTTATTCACAGCTATAAGGATATTACTGAAAAAAACATCAATATAAGGAGTGGTCTAGTAAGTTTTTTGCTTTGCTTTGTGATCAGGTGATAATGACAACCGTGACTCTGTTAGTGTGTACAAGTCTCACAGCATAGAACAAAAGAGTAGATTAAGCCGGGCGCTGGTGGCTCACGCCTGTAATCCTAGCTACTCAGGAGGCTGAGATCTGAGGATCACGGTTCAAAGCCAGCCCGAGCAGGAGAGACCGTGAGACTCCTATCTCCAATAAACCACCAGAAAACCGAAGTGGCGCTGTAGCTCAAGTGGTAGAGTGCTCGCCTTGAGCTGAAGAGCTGAGGGACAGCACCAGGCCCAGAGTTCAAGCCCCAAAAAAAAAAAAAAAAAGAGTAGATTAAGATCAAAGATAATTCTAGGTGCTAAGGGCCATGGTCATGCCTGAAATCCCAGCTACTCGGGGAGCAGAGATTGGGTGAATTGATGTCAATTTGAGCATCCAGTTTTAGCAAGATCCTATCTCAATAAAACAAGCCAGGCATGATGAAGAACACCTGTGATCCTGGCTACACAGGAGACATAGGTAGGAGAATTGTAGTACAATGAGAAATCCTACCTGAAAAATACCCAGGAATGAAGAGCTAGAGGTAAGGTTCAAGTGGTAGAACTGTATAGTCTAGCAAGCATGAGGCCAATTTAAGCTCCAGTACTGGGGAGAGACTCTACGACTGGGGAATGTAGTACAGATTGCTTGCTTGCCTGCCTGGCAGGCATGCTCCAGGTCCCAGGCTGAAGGGAGGGCTAAGACTCCCATAGGCACTGAGGGCTGTCAATCTCAGTGCTAAGGAACGTTAGGGTTAGGTACAAGTTTGGGAGAGGTAAGAAAAACCAGTGACTCTGCTTTTTATATCTCAAAGAGACTTTTTCAACCTATAGAAAATTTACGCAAAGATGCTGAGTTGCCAGTATATTCTATGCATCTATAGTTGAGAAGAAAGGTCTGAGTTGGTCAGCAAAGTGTAAGAATGAAGGTGCAGTTGAGAGCACAGTATGGACAGAACCACTCCCAGGTTTCTGTGGAGGCTTAAGACCTTGCCCCAGTCCCTTATGTCCCCATCACCTGCTGCACATGTCCCCTAGCACCCTTCTTAGAAAGGCTGCCAGAAGAGGGTTTTTCCCCTCCTCTTGGCAGTACTGGAGTTTTGAGCTCTGGGCATCCACTTGCCAGGCAAGTGCTCTACAGTTTGACCCATATCTCCAGCCTAAGGAGGCTCTTTGTGTATGTGTGTGTGTGTGCACAAGCATGGGGGAGGGGGAGCAGCATGTATGTGCTATGCTGAGACCTGCGAGTTCCCAGGCACTGTCCTGAGCTTTTGTGCTCAAGGCTAGCACTTTACCACTTGAACCATAGCTTCACTTCCAGCTTTTTAGGTCTCATGGACTTCACTGCCCAAGCGGGCTTCAAGCTTGATCCTCAGATGGCAGCTTCCTAAGTAGCTAGGATTACAGGTGTGAGCTACCAGAGCCTGACCCAAGGAAGTTCTTTTTACACAAGATCCCTACTTTGTACTCTGGGAGTCTATTATCTTGGCCAGACCCAAGCATGGCTCAGAAAAGACTGATCCAGAGACTACCAGAGATAGGTTCAGTCAGGGGGTTATAAGGTGGCCCTACAAAAGGCTATTCCAGAAAAAAAAACAAAAACAAAAAGACATGTTTTTCCCACTTCAAAAAGAACAAATTTACTGTCTACATTCTAGTACACTTGCCTTTAGCCAGTCATCTGTATTGATTTCACTCACTTTCCCCTTCCATACACCTACAAATGCCACAAAGGATAGCAGGAGAGGATGTGTGGTGTTTTCTAATCACTTCCTTTCACATAGTCATTGTTCTAAAAATACCAAAGGTCCAGGAATAAACCAAAGGAAGCGTTTTCATTATGCCTGCCTCTATTTTCAGTAATTCCCACCTCTCATCTAATTCACCTCCATTAACTCCAAATGATCCACACGATAACAAAAATAATTTTCGCAAGTATTGCTTTTAGAATAGGAATGCCAGCTGGGAACATGGCCTAGTGGTATAGTGCTTGCTTAGCATGCTTGAAGTCCTGGGTTCGATTCCTCAGTACCACATAAAAAGAAAAAGCCAGAAATGGTGTTGTGGCTCATGTGATAGAGTGCTAGCCTTGAGCAAATGAAACTCAGGGACAGTGCCCAGGCCCTGAGTTCAAGCCCCAGGACTGGTTAAAAAAAAATAGCAACACCATCTTGAGGAAATGAAAACAAAAGGAGAATGTAACTTTGGATACAGCTGCAAGAACATTAACCAGAGCTCAACTAGTGGATAGTAAGTCACACACTTTGGAAATGTACAAAATTCTGTGGAATTGAGAATTTTAGTCACCAAAATCTCAGTCTGATAGCCTATCAAACTGAGCAATGAACTCTGACAATGACCAACTTCACCCCTACTCATCCTGCACATTAGGTCACATTATTCTCCACATATTCCACTAAATGTCAGCTGTTCTAAGGAACCATATAATGAAAGAATCACCACACAACTGTATACATGGCTTTTAAATCTACCAGCATTATCCCAATGATTCAATCATTCCACCTGGGAGAAAAAAAAATTAAGCTTTTCCTTCTTTTTCTCTCCTCCTAAAAAATAAAATTTTATACAATTAAAGGCCATGCAGCCTTCACCATCTTTAAAGGAAATCAACAGCTCTCACAATACCGGTTGGTCACCTAGGGACACTTCTTACCAGACAGCACTCAGGCCAACAAAGCTCAGCTCAACCAATATTTCCAGGCTTTTCCACAATCAATGGACATTCTGAAACATGTGAGCATAGACACATACATGTTTTCCAGTGCTGGAGATCAAATCCACCACCTGTGCATGCTAGTCAAATGCTCTTCCACAGAGCTACATCCTCAAGTGTATAGTTTAAACTGACCCACAATAATGTCAATTGTTTCCATAAAGATACTCGTCTTGCTGATCCCTACTGGGAAGCAGTCTTGGAAAGAAAATTTAAACAGCAGCAAGAGACCAATCAAACCCTTGAGATGTATGATCCCAAACTGAGCTGGGAAATTTCTTCCACCTGACAAATTTATCAAGGCACCAATAAAAAAAAACTACCGTTTACAGAATCCAATGATTCCTTTCGAGCTAGCCTTCGTAGGAGAGCTGGTTACTTTGCATTTGGGGGGGAAGGCTCAGATGCTTCTCGCTGAAGCTGGAACCCTGAAGGAAAGCAGCTCTCGAGAGCTGGTTTCCCACACAGATGCACTCGCCAGGTGGACACACACATCACGGTCACTGCTGGAGTAGACGGCTCAAATAGTTGGTTTTGTTGTTGTTTTCTTAACTCTTTGGGAAACTAGTTACCGACTATTTCCTTTATGTCTGTAATTCTACTCACCCAAACATTTTAAAAGACAAAAGTCCTTCAATGTGAGTCCCAACAGCTAACGAAAAGTCAGGGGTGGCAGAGTGGAGGGGGGGCTGGGGCAGTGCTGAGGATGCGGGTACAGCAAAGGCCCAGGGGTGCTGCTCAGAAACACCCCTTCTCCCCCTGTCCGCCGCCCTGATTCGGGGGGACGCCGAGAGGAACGGGTCCGCAGGTCACCGGGTCTGCCCCGCCCTGCGGCCTGCACCTCCTAGGCAGGCGGCGGTCTCGCGTAGAGCGCGAAGCCCGGAACGCAGCGGCGAGGGCGGCCGCCTCGAGGGGACCGGGACGCCGCGCTCCGGAGTCCGGGAGTCACTCCGCCCGCCCGCCCGCCCGCCGCCCGGCACCGCTCACCCGGGCTCTTCAGATTGTAGCGGGTCTCCATGGCGGGGGGACGTCTGGGCCCGCTGACGCGGCTCCGGCCGACTGGGCCTCGCTGACGCCCTCCGGGCCACCCGACTGCGGCCGGGGAGGTGAGACGCGGCCGGGG